AACCCGTCCAGAAGACCTATACTATTATTTTCTTTTTGATTTTTTACCTGGATTACTGAGATGCATCAGGACACCCCCAAACAATGTTACAACTGTCCCCGGCCCCGGGGTCAGTTGTAACATCTGACTTTTCATTTTCAAATGCAAATAGTGAAGAATGTACATGTTTTAATCATCTATAAATGGTTTTAACTATTAACAGACATATGTAAGTTTATTGTATTAAAATCTGGTTTGTCTAATTCACACCATCTCTGAGGAACAGAGTCAAATGTAACAAGGTGTTGCAACTGTCCCCGGTCTCCCCTATTATAAGACTTACCAAAAAAATAGATACATGTGACCAAATTCAAGAAGCAAAGCAATTGTGTGTTTAGGCCTTGATTTTCTATCTGTTATCCAGTAAAGAAACCCTGACCCACAATTGTTTTGGTCGGACTTGTTGTGCAGACGCGCCCCCTTCTGGTGGAAAAGCAGATTACTTCCGGTGACGCGAAGCCGCGAGCGCCCTCTGTGGTGGGGAGAGGTGTTTTCTTCAGGGACACCTCAATGCCTCCGAGTCGTTCCTGATCCTGTGGAGTCCAGTGAGTCCTTCATCTCCAGTTGTTTCCTTATATTTAAAGACAACGGACTGGTTGAAATGGTAGCTGCTGGGTTCCTTTAGGTCCCTGTCAGTCGTTCTGTTCCAATAATGAATTTACTGCCGTCTAATCCTCACGGGAATGGCCTTCTGTATGCTGGATTCAACCAGGACCATGGTAAGAAATGTTTTTAACCACAAATAGAGTCAAAGCGTCTCTGTTTTTACAATAACATGTTTCACAAGAATATGTTTTATTACTCAACAACAGTTTTACATGTGAGGAGGTAGAAAACTGTGAGCTACAGCCCTTACTCCATCAGTAACTTTAAATGGTTTCTGTTATTTGTCGGTTTAATTCCCGTTAGCTTTCACAAACCTCAGCTAGCATAGACATTAGCTACTTCCTTTCGTCTGTTGGGCTAGCTTATTTATTAATTATCCAGCTTTACAGTCTCAGATTCAACCGTGGTACTAAATACACGAATGTAACAGAATAAGTAAAATAATATATATGAAGACTGAGAGGAGGAGTAAGATGAGTGTCATTAGCATAAATGCTAATGTTAGCTTGATTAGACAGTGGCTATCGGATAGCTTCAGCTACGTGAACGGTTAGCATTTATATTTTAAACGTTTTCAGTAAAGTTTAACGCATTAAAGGGTTGTTTTAGTGTGGTAAAGTGTTGTCCCCATCCTCAGCTGACACAGGCCGTAAACTACATGATACTGATCTGTCGTGTTACACATTTCACACGAATTACTGCACAGTTTAATCATTAATCATTTTTCTTTTGCAGTTTTTAAACCTGTTACAGCTCTGTCCTGTAAATGAGACTGCCTGTCTGAATAAAAGACAATTAAAAACTAGAGAAATAGCATTTCCTTAGAAAAATGCTGATGTGAACATTTTTAGTAGCAAAAATGTTATTGCAAGTTCAAAATTTCAAAATTGAAAGAAGCAAAAAAAGCATAACTTTGCAGAAAAAAGTAAAATGAAGCAAAAAAATAGTTGAAAAAGCAGAAAACAGCTAAAAAGAGCAGAAAACATCTGTAAGAGGCATAAAAACCACAAATTAGCAGAGAAACGCTCAAACAGAAGAAAAAAACAACAACAGCAAAAAGAAGAAGATCTATAGTTAAAAGTTAAAATGATCATAAAATAATCGTTTTTTCTTTTCTCTTTTCTCTTTTTTTTGGATGGCCTCCCTTCTCCCCTTATAGCCATCCTCTCCACACCATTATGTTTTTTAAGTGAAGAGAAAACAGAGAGAAGTAATTAGAAAGATAGAAAGATTGAAATAACGATTAGAAGTATATTAAATATACACCAACAAAACACAGGACCACACACCCAACATCTGTCCGCTCACCTGAAAAATAAATGGATAAATACATGGAGGGTATATAAAAAATATTCACATACCCATACATATTTAAAAATATACATACATACATACATA